GTTTTTAAACATTCCACTCATAGTTTACCAGAGGTGTGCTTTTGTTTAGTTTTCACAGTCGTGATGATACTCAGAATGGATCGACGCTGAGCAATTCTCACCTACCCACTCCCCTGATCCGCCCACAATGCGCGGAGTACTGTGAGTGCACCCCTGTTTGTATTGTTAATACTTACTCAGAATAACACCCAGTAAGGCTGCTCTTTTCTAAAAATACTTTCAAGTTTAGTTAAAGTTTCGACCTATAGTAGCTGCACTGACAGCTGAGGGCGGGGCAGACTTTTTTTTTTTTCCTTTACGCACACCTGGTTTCAGGAAGTAACCTCTACGTCAGCGGGAGAGGTGTTTGAAGGAATGGCTCAGGAATTCAACACAAAAATCCTGCTCAACTGGATAGGTGATCAGCAGACATATATCTCTCTCACCACAGGCACCACGACGGCAGAAGCTTTAAATCTCGTGGAAAAGCTCAGAGAGACTGAACTTTTCTGGGGGCGATCAGATTGAAGGATATTATTTTTCTTTTTCCTCTTTAAGAAGAAAGGCTTCTTTTAAAACAGACGAACATGTCTCGGGTTTCGAATATTTTACCCGATGAGGCGGTCTTTGATGACTTCAAAAAACAGTGTTTAGCAACCGACAACTGGCAAAATAAGTATGACAACCATGGGATGCAAGTGTGGATCGAGGTGCGCGCTGTGAATAAAGGAAATCACGTACCTAAAGTCCACAAGATGAAGGTGAGTTTGCTTTAGCACCAAATCTAAAAACTAGAATACCTTTTGAAAAATAAATCAGTTTTATTAGGCTGTCGTGCTGTGTGGGTGGTGTCCTGTAACCCTCTGTATGTTTTCCCCCAGTGTAAAATGATAGTTAAGGATGTGTCAGCTGCTACCATGTTCGACGTCCTTCACGACAGCCGGTACCGCAAGAAGTGGGATGTAACTATGCAGGAGAGTTTTGACATTGCCCGGCTCTCTGCTAATGCTGATGTGGGCTACTACTCATGTGAGTGAGCACTCTTATCACTTGCAATCCTCTGTGTGTGTTTGTGGTTTGGTGTGGGCCTGATTAGATGTGAGATCTTATTTTTGCTGATACAATAACTATATATATATATATATATGTATATGTATATATATATATATGTATATATATATATATTACTTGATTCAGCGCTCATCTTTGAAGACCCATCTCATCTATGGCCTCTTGTTACACCAGTGTATTTATTGCCATAATAAGGGCAACCTTGTTGAGCTTAAATACTGAACTAACAGAGAAAGCTTGCCAAAGTATAACATTATTTATGTCTTTATTTATTTCTTTTTTATTTTGGCCTTCTGCAGGGCGTTGTCCAATTCCATTAAAGAACAGAGATGTCGTGACACTGCGCTCGTGGCAGATCACAGATGACGAGTACATCATGGTTAACTTCTCAGTCAAACACCCGGTACGCCACCTCCTACATCCACTCAAGATACATAGCAACCATTGCCTCTACACATACTGTTTGTACAGCTCTTTGACACCTCTTTGTCCTGTTGTGTGTGCACTGATTTATCGTTTTTAAAGCTAGCTTTATCCATTGTCACATTGTGCAGAAATATCATAAAAATGTATAGTGTTCCTTATTGTTCTGCAAAATGTTTTCCTTGAATTATAGAAATTCCCTCCTCGCAGCAACCTCGTAAGAGCCGTTTCCATCCAGACGGGGTATTATATCAAGGCCACAGGACCAAATAGTTGCATTTTTACATATCTTTCACAAGCAGACCCCAAAGGTAAAACTATATGCAACAATTACTTTGTTCCATTCAAACTTAGAGTTCTTGATTCATTTCTGCAGAGTTCTTACGATGAATGTGTGTCTTCTAGGCTCTCTCCCAAAGTGGGTGGTGAACAAAGCATCCCAAGTTCTTGCTCCTAAGGTATGTAATGATTCACAACCACTTCCACAGACCATTTCCTGCTAAACATTTGTTCACCTGTAGTAAACATCAGAGCTGTAAGTGATAAGGTTAAATCCATAAGCACAGTATCGGCATCTGTGACAGTCTAGGTGTGTTTTCACAAGGGTTTTTAAACGTGCAAGAGGTGTGTGTGTGTCTACATGTGCACACTCATAAGGGAGGGGAAAAACCATAGAAACAATTTAAGGGCCTGTCCTGACAAGGCTGCTGACAAAGGAGAGCTGTCAGTCACCCTCCTGGAAGAACCCAAGTTTCATATTTTCCGTAGATTAAAACTATTTAGACACCATTGTGTGTGTGTGTGTGTGTGTGTGTGTGTGAGAAAGAGAGAGAAACTATCAATGAGACAAGAACAACAGCAAGAAAAGTATTTCTAAAAGTCTGCGTGAAAGTATTTCATATGGTATCTCCAGGTCACATAAATCTGACTGGAAATGAGTAAAAGAACAACTCAAATTTCTTTACACCATCAAATCTACCGATGTCTAAAAAATGCATACAACCATTATAAAACCAGGCCTTTAAAACATCTTATTTAAAAGACTTTAGAAGTGTATCCATTTAAAAACCTACATAGGCAGACAAAATTGAAACCTTCTCTCTACATACTCAGTTTTGTTTGAAGAACTAGATTGCGTGTGCATTCTGGAAATCAGCCATTTTTATCTTCACTTCTACTTGCCATGTAATATACCACGCAGCGTTTTATGACCATCTTTATCTTCAGCTTTGTTGACTGAGAATGGAGGAGTGCTGCAGTCCTTTAACAATCGCATCATCTCTTCTCTTTTTAGGTAATGAAGAGTGTGCACAAGGCGGGACAGGAATACTCGAACTGGAAAAGTCAGAATTCCCCCGATTTGAAGCCCTGGCTGCACCCAGAGCAGAACACCCTTCCCATGATGGACCCCGCTGAGCTGTCAATTCAGAGAGCAGACTCACTGGAAAATGTGGACGAAAGCTCAAAGCTGGATGCTAACGAAGGGGAGGACAGCAGCTAAATTGAACGATAGTGATGGGAGGAAAGGTGGACAAAGACGGAGAGATTGAGAGGTGGACTGTAGATGGACTTGAGGTCTCCGGCTCTCTGTGATGTAACCATGATCCTCCAGTTCTAAATCGGTGTGCCTTCGAGGATGAGCAAGAGCATGAAGTGTTTACAACCGTCTGACAAGATGGAAATGAGCACAGATCAAGTTGCCATCACCTCAGTCTGTGTTGAGCTAAGCTAACTTCCACTGTACAGGGTTAGAGGTGTTGGGGTTTGAATGTGACACATTTGCAATACTACATTTACAATTGGACCAAAGACAGTCGATCTTTAGCTGCAGCTACGTGAACAAAATTTAAGTGGAAGAAAGGGAAATATACTTGACTTCTAGCAGGTCATTATTAGTGACTGTGAATAGAAATGAGATTAGAAAGTTGGCAAACACCTGTGGAGAATTGTGACACTAACTTCTCTTCAGAATATTGCAAAGGAATCGAGTATGAAAACAGCTGAAACTGTTTCAGCTCACTTTATCTTTCTTTTGGGGTTGTAGTAGACACAGAACGATGATAACTTTGTGATCATTTATACTTAAACATTTTGTTAATATGTTCACAGCATAATGTACAGGTAGCAACTTGTGGGGCAGGTTGTCTTTAGGTTTGTAATTAGGAAGGCTCTTTTTGAAGGTGTGTTGCCTTTACTCAGACGTTGTGCAACCATGGTGTTTGCATTGTAAATTATTACAAATGGTGGAGTTTCACTGGTCCACAAGGAAGGCACCGAAGTGAACTCCCAGTTAGGTTGTATTGCCAAGTCACAATACACACAGAATTATTGTATTTTGTTAGTTGAATATCAGTTGACCTGAAGGATTGGAATGACCATAAAGGCTTTTTTATTTATTTCAAGTTGATGTAAATTGATGAAGTAATGGCCTGGGATGAAGCCCCTGTAGGTTGACATTTTTTTTTTTTTTTCATATTAAACTATTTAATGATAACAATGTTACAAGGCATTCCTTTTTTTTCTGTTTTCTTTTTAAAATAAACCTCACAAGGTTAACAAGCTTTTGTACTCATTGTAATTGTCAAATAAGAGGAATGCAGTCAATCAGAAACTGTATGAGAGAAACTGACTTCAAGGGTGAAACAAGTTTTGCTACTTGCACCAGAACAAACCGGTCCTTCTCTAGCTTTGGTTCCAGTTCTTCAAGTGCACAAAGCCAAACGCTAGAAAAGGTCAAGGAGTCGAGCTTGATTTTTGTAATCGTAACCTCTATAAAAAATACAAATACTGAACCCATTCAAACATAAATTCTTTACATAAAAATGATCAGTGTGCAGAAATCAAGACAATACTTTGATGAACCTGGTAGCTATTAACATACAGTTTATTGTATAAATGCATAATGCGCTAAGATCCAGAGGTATTCAACTGTTTTCTATGAATGTTCCATTGTATGCAGATTTAATTTGCAGCCAGAGGTTGGATCTGCAGATTTTACTGACTATGCACATCTTGAACCATGCAGGCCAAAATTATGAAAGCACCAGACTGTCTTTGGTTTGAATTAAACCTGCAAACATTGGTGCCTCCTCACAGATAACACCCCATTACAAGCTTTGCCACTACGCTACGATAAATGTTATGCACTTTAATAGCACGTTACAAGCCATGCTCGTAAACCATTTGGCACCTCAGACACATAGTTTATGCAACAGCATTAAATCAGCTCAGGCGCAGTTTATGTAAAACTCGTGCATGGAACATAAAAGTACCAAAGCCCTCAGTAGCAGTGACTGAAATGTATATTTACATCGCTTAGCATTTCGTACACAATTACAAATATTTACTAAATATGAAAAAACAGCATTGTGCAATATATTCATAAATTCAACAGAGGTCTGGTGACCATAACTTATATCAAGTGATGGTGTTTTAGTCCACACATATGCAAACATCTGCAGAAATATCATAACAGGGCTTAAGGAAACATGGGAAAGGTCATCTTTAAATCCTTTGCTTGACTAGAAAATATTTATTATTCATCTGTTCTATAATTTATAGTGTAAAATCTAGTTTATAGTCTTAAAAACAGCTCTGCATAGAAACAACTTCCTAACCAATCAATCGAAGTAGAGTTCATCATGTGAAGCATGCAGAAAGGAGTATCTGTGAAACTCAGTCTCTAACGTCATGTATATTTTCCTTACATGAAAGACTGAATGAGATTGTTAGTCATGCATTAGTCATCTTTGAGCTGAGACAGAATGGAGGCCAGAGTGTGTGGGAGGATTGTAGTGAAGTGCAGTTAAGTATCCTTCTGTCTTTGTCTCTCTCTCTGCTGCCATCTAGTGTACGGTCCTCTCCTTCTGCCGTTGGTAGTCTGATAAAACAACCCACAAAGGACACCATTAGAGTACTGACATGGGCGCTGTTATACATTTCTGTATCAGTATGACATAGCTCAAAGTTTTTACTGCTTTAAAGTTTTTATTGTCTTTTGTTTTTGCACTCAGATAAGCCAGACGATAATCTTATTATTATGTGGGCACGATGACACGATGGCATACTGACAATGCTCAAATTCTTGAGAAATTCAGCATGTTTTAAATATCTAACTCATGCTGTATTAGCACACTGAGGAATAGTAAAAGGCACAGACTAAAACCTGCTTTCAAAGCCAAAGTGAGCACAACAGTTTCTTCTGAGCATTTCTTTTACTTAACCTAACAGCAAAACAAGACTTAGACATTTAAGGACATTAAGTGTAGATCTGTCTTAAAATAATATCTTACAAGATCTCTACCCATGAACACAAATTCTGCAGGAAAACAATTTTTTCTTTCTTCATCTCTCTAAAACATCTCAACAGTTGAGATAAAAACACATGTTGACATAAATGTTTTTTTAGGTTGTCATCATGCTCCTGATACAATCAAGTAAACCAACGCTTACTGTAGGGAAAGAAGCGAACCCTCATCAGGATTTCTCGCGCAGTTTTCAGAATCTCTACAGCCTGAAGAAGACAAACATTATCCATGATTTTAAACAGAAAATATAATGCAATGTTGTGATGAACAAGATATGGAACAAAAAGAAAACTGCA